TCCGAGTATGGTTGTAGGCTTGAGTTATGTATGTGAAGGTATCCCAATCTGGGGTATTCCATCACCAGGTTGCAAGTTATCGGGTTATCGCCAATTTTGGCGAAGGAAGATGGATTAGTTTCTTAGCAGAGCTCAGTGGGTGTTTGTGGAATCTAGCGTTGCAGGGCGCGGAAGCGTGTCCCTGATATGAAGGTTAGTTCTATCGGGTGATTCGTGGTTAATTCGTGGTGCTATTGAGTTGAACGGCTGATGATCGGCTTGGAGTAGTAGTGGCAAGGATGCCACGTGAGAATAAGCCATTTTAAGAGTGATTTAGAAGTAGGGTTTGTAAGAGCATGAGTTGATGAGAAGTCGGAGTCTACAGTGCAACGGGTTCGTTCTGAGGCGTATACTGCAGTAGACTCGAGGACGAAGCCTAATTTAAGTGGAGAGAGTTGTAACACCCGAATTTCAATTGTTCAAGAAGGGCCCAAAAGTGTAAATTTAGGAAAGGGACTCGACGAGTAGGTCCGCTTACTCGTCGAGTCGGAGCGGGATTCTATCGCGGTTAAGTGGCCAACTCACCGAGTTGGCGGCTTGGACTCGAGAGTTGGTTGCTGAAGAGAGGAAAACCCTAATCCCGGGGTTGTGCCCTATATAAAAGCACATTATACCCCACCCTCAGCCTCTTTGCTACCCTTTTGAGATCCAGAACCCTAGCATCGAGTGAGCTTCCATTATAGAGAGAATAGAGCTTTGGAGGAGAAGATCTTGGAAAGGAGCTTGAAGATCAAGAGGTTTGCTGCAAAGGAGTGGTGTAGATCCGGGATCTACTTCAGTTGGAGCTTATATTGGAGGTAATAATTTGTTTCTTGGGCTCTTTGCATCTAGATCTATTATCATTGAGATTTGGGGCATTTTTGGTTATGATTTGAGAGCTATTCAAGCTAGAAGCTTAGATCTGAGGTTGCTACTTCAGATCTAGGCTTGTGATGGTCCTTAATGTCTTTCATAAAGCTCCTGTCTAAGAGTTATTGTTATAGCCCCTTTGTCATAAACCTAGCCCTAGAGTGTTTTGGGCTTATATCTCCTTGGTTTCTAACGTAAAGTTTGCAAACTTTATGTGAGGGTTAGGCCTGTTTGTAGATAGAGTGGATCTATGGATTGGAGCCCCTGCATGGCTCGAAAAAGCCTTGTATGGATTGAGAACTGAAGAGACTCGGCGAGTCACAGGTGTTACTACATGAGTTGTATGAACATGTGCATGGGCTCGGCGAGTTGGAAGAAACAACTCAGCGAGTCTGTTGAAGATTGCCTTGGACTCGGCGAGTCTGTTCTTGGACTCGACGCGTCTGGTCGCGAACCCAACCTCTTGTGGTTAAAGCTTTGGTTTAGTGAGTCGGTTGGCGACTCAGTGAGTTGGACAGGGGGATTCCGAGATCGTTGAACTCGAGGAGTCTTGGGCGACTCGGCGAGTTGAGTCGTGTTATGGAGTCTTCTGAGTATGGAACTCGACGAGTCGACGGGTTGACTCAGCGAGTAGGGTCACCCAGGAGGTTGACTTTGACTGAGGACTTTGACTTGACCAGAAGAGTTTGACCAGTTTTGAATTCCAGGGTACTTTGGTATATTAGTATTTATGGAATTGGTTCTTGGTAGTTTGTTCTGTGGTGAAGATCGTGTCGGTGGTCGGAGCAGCTTGGTCTTATCTTTTCAGTTGGCAATTGCCGGTGAGTTATCCTCACTATATCGACAGGGTCCACGGCACCAGGTCGGCCCTTTATCGGATGGAAATCCGGGTATTGTTGTTATGTTATTGCTTTGCTAGATCTGCATCCTGGTATTTTGGCTGGTGTTATGTTAGTGACCTGGTTAAGGTCGGTACCGGTAATAGGGTAATTTATGCTAGTGACCGGTTATGTCGGAATCTAAGTTAGGAGTTTATGTTTGTGATATGTTAGACTGTTTGTCTGGTTGAGATTTGTTATGTGATTATTGTTTATGTGCAATGGTTTTTTGACGGGGTTGCGTGAGGCGGGTCCTGCTTTGTGCTGTAGGCCAACATACCCAGGGCGGACCGGATATTCTGACGGCCCCTAGAGGCGTACCAGACTTGTCGAGGTCAGAGAGTGGACCAGGCCACTGAAGGCCAAGTGTGGGCAGACAGTCATACTGTAGACTCAGAGAGTGGACCAGGTGGATTGATGGGCCGGTGCGGGCGGACCAATCACCTGTGACTCGATGTACATGGTGTTCTATTGTGATATGTTATGAGTTGTTTATGTGTGGTTGGTATTTTGGGGGTAACTACTAAGCTTTCGGGCTAACAGTTCATGTGTATTGTTTCAGGTACTTCAGGATGTCACACCCAAAACCAAGAACGGACGGGCGGAAACGTTCAGGGGTGGAGGACGTCATGTAAAGTATCATAACAGTGCAAAGTAGTAAACAAGCAACAACATCATCCATTGCATTAAAAGTAAAGTTTTAATACATGAGTGTTCTTTCATAGTAATAAGACACCAAAATATGTAATCAAAATAAAAGACGAGTCTTGTCTGTGCTCCGTCTTCTCAAAACCTGGTCATTGTACCTGTCTACTGATGACCTGAGAATACAAGTTATTTTGAAAGCGTAGATCAGCATAAAGCTGGTGAATTCATAAGTATTTTAGTGTCATTGATTTGAAAAGCTGTTATGAAAGACTTGTAAATGTTTAATGAAACATTTAGTATAAGTGTGAAAACCCTAGAAAATCCCATATTTCCTACTAGTAAAAAAAAAGTAGTCTTCTACCAAGACCCGAATGCTTTGAAGGTTTGCATTTCTGTATCAATGAAGGTTTTTCCCATGTGCAACTATTATTATAAATATATAGTCTACCTCATCGTTTATGTGAATGTGTCACAAAATAAAAGTAATAGGGAAAATTATATAATCATTGAAATCGTATCCTTTTGCCTTAGGATAATCACGGCGTGGAAACTCGCCGAACAGTACAACCGAGAACATCCGTCGATGAACAGGTCTCGCTGTAGCTAGCAGCCAGGTGTAGGATGGATCAGTCCCGTATATATATATAGTATCTCTCTGTATAGTATATAGTATTTCTCTCTGTATAACAAGTAATAGTATCTCTTCATATAGTATTTAGTATATTTGTATAGACTCATGAATGAACTGACTCTTGTGTAATTCCTTGTACTAGAAATAATATTTTGTATCTCCTAAACTATACCTATAATAGTTTACTGGAATGTAGATTGAATGTCCAAGTAGGTTTATACACCCTTGCTACACAAGAGTGTTGGAACTGAAGAAAGAATGAAAGCTCTCATATCAATACATATATGTATGAAACATAAGTGTATAGATATGGTTTTTAACAATAAGTTGAAAGAGGTTTTGTAATACATTTAAGAGTTTTGAACAATAAGTAATAATGACTTGATGTCAGTTTATAAAACGATTCAAAAGTAGTTCATTTGATAACAAAGAATAAAATAACTGAAAACCATTGTATTTAACACATTTTGAAGTATGTGAAATCAGTTGGTTGTTGAAAACACAGTTATAAATCACATATGATTGATTCTATAACTTCCTGTTTTCTACTTGTATTCCCCCCCCCCCATGAAAGCATTTAAAATCATTTAAAAGGATTGATTAAGGGGTATGAACTCACCTGTAGTGAGTGGTTTGGATGAACGGATGATGTAGGATGCTAAGTGTCAAGTGAAGACTTGTACACACACAATGATCCTAGTTAACATATAATAACACATATATGTATCCAATTAGTCATAAAACAACTAATTAACCAAATTTAAGACATCCTAAGACATGTAAAACACTTGATTTAAGTGCTATAAGTCCTAAGGATTGCATCTAAGGGTGGTAGGACCTTGTAATTGAGTTTAGGGTTCAAGGGTAAACTCCTTTGGAGTTTACGGTTTTGTGACCAACTCTTATTGAGTTTACGGTCGTAAACCCATGAGTTTACGGCCGTAAACTCATGGTACTTTTACCATGTTGATTTGAAGCCTAAAAGGTCATAAGAAGCATTCCTACTTCATATCTAAGCCTTTGGAAGTGATTAGGGCACCATTTCACTCCTTTGTGGAGTTTACGGTCCTTGGACCACTTCTCCTTGGGTTTACGGCCGTAAACCAAATGGTTTATGGTCTTTTTGATGTTTCAGTCCTAAGCACTTTAAGGATATGATCTAGACTAGTATCCAAGGCTTGGATAAGGGACTAGGGCACATTTTGGCCCCTTTATTAGGGTTTACGGTCCAAGAACATCTTGGACCGTAAACACCTTTGATCTTGTGTTTCTTGGGTGTTTTCTTGATGATTAGAAGTGTAACAAGTCTTATAATACACTAGGGTAATAGTACTTACTAGGTAGAAGCTTGAAAAGGTGCTAAAAGTCCAAGAACACTAGTGTGTGTCTTGGTGTTCTTGGTGAAACTTGAAGATCTACACTTTTGAAGATCTACACTTTTGGAATGATTTCACGGATGGAATCATGTAAGATCACTAGATTAAGTAAGATATCAACTTTTTAGGGATAGAAACACTTACAAAGTTGAAGATCAAGAAGAAAAGTTGGATGATACTTGAGAGGATTTGAGTTTGGATCTTGAAAATGTGAAAAAGTGGTAAATAATGACTAAGTGTCATATTTATACCCCCTTTTAGGGTTTACGGCCGTAAACACCTTTGTTTAGGCCGTAAACTCCAAACTCTTGGAGTTTTTGGGACATTATTGTTGCACAATAAACCCTAGGGCATCCTCTCTCCTGTTATCTCCTGAAGTACTAACTTCTAAACACTCAAACTTACTCCAGAAAGCTTGAAAGTTAGCAGAAACTGTTCTGACTTCTATTGAAGTGAATGGTTGTACAGAATAGAAATTTCGGGTTGTCACATCATCCCCCGTTAGAAGGAATTTCGTCCCGAAATTAGAGTTTAAGCAAATAAGTAGTTACAAATAACTAAGTAAAAAGACGAGGATATTTCAGTTTCATCTGATCCTCTCGCTCCCAAGTGAATTCAGGTCCTCGCTTGGCGTTCCAGCGAACCTTCACTATCGGGATACGGCTTTGTTTCGTTTGCTTGACCTCCCGGTCCATGATCTCTACTGGTTCTTCCACGAAGTTGAGGCTCTCGTTGATCTCGATCTCGTCGAGTGGGATTACAAGAGTCTCGTCGGACAGACACTTTTTCAAGTTCGAGACGTGGAAAGTAGAATGTACGTTACTGAGTTCGCGTGGTAAGTTAAGTTTGTAAGCTACAGGACCGATTCTAGCGAGAATCTCGAAAGGCCCTATGTATCTTGGATTTAGCTTTCCACGCTTTCCAAAGCGTATCAAGCCCTTCCAGGGTGAGACCTTCAATAGAACACGGTCTCCCACCTGGAATTCCAACGGTTTCCTTCGTTTATCAGCGTAGCTTTTCTGTCGGTCTCTAGAGGCTTTCAATCGTTCACGAATCTGAACGATCTTCTCTGTCGTTTCCCGAATGATCTCCGGACCCGTGAGAGTGCTTTCAGGAACTCGTCCTTTAGCTAACTGGGTATCACCCACCTCAGCCCAGCACAGAGGGGATCTGCACTTTCGGCCATAGAGGGCCTCGAATGGAGCAGCCTTTATGCTCGTGTGATAACTGTTGTTGTAGGAAAATTCGACAAGGGGTAAATGAGTATCCCATGCCTTCCCAAAGTCGATCACACAGGCTCGCAACATATCTTCCAAGGTTTGGATAGTTCTCTCACTTTGTCCGTCGGTCTGTGGATGGTAGGCTGTACTCATGTCCAGCCTAGTTCCTAGGGAACTTTGTAGCGACTGCCAGAACCTCGAAGTGAATCTACTATCTCTGTCCGAGATAATGGATATGGGAACACCGTGCAGTCGTACAATCTCCCGAATGTAGGTTCTTGTAAGCTTCTCCATCTTGTCTGTTTCTTTGATAGGCAGGAAGTGTGCGGACTTGGTCAATCTGTCGACGATGACCCATATGGTATCAAGTCCACCCGTTGTCTTGGGCAACTTGGTTATGAAGTCCATAGTGATCCGCTCCCACTTCCATTCCGGTATCTCTGGTTGTTGTAGAAGACCGGAGGGTTTCTGGTATTCGACCTTGACCTTGGCGCAAGTAAGGCATTTACTTACGAAGGTAGCAATCTCTGCTTTCATGTTAGGCCACCAGTATAGCTTTTTAAGATCCAGATACATCTTATCTGAACCTGGGTGGACGGAATAACGAGTGTTGTGTGCCTCGGTCATGACCAAGTCTCTGAAGCCACCGTGTTTCGGTGTCCAGATCCGATCCATGAGGTATAAGGCTCCGCCACCCTTGACTTCCAAATTCTTATCCATCCCTCTTAGGGTTTCACTCGCCACATTTTCAGGTTTCAAAGCGTCGAGCTGAGCCTCCTTAATTTGCGTGGACAAGTGTGAATGGATAGTCATAGTCAATGATTTGACTCTACGACCAGAGTATTCTTTCCGACTTAGGGCGTCGGCTACTACGTTGGCTTTACCCGGATGATAACGAATTTCACATTCGTAATCACTGAGTAGCTCGACCCACCGTCGTTGTCTCATGTTGAGCTCCTTCTGGTCGAATATATGTTGTAGGCTTTTGTGGTCTGTAAAGATAGTACTTTTTGTACCATACAGGTAGTGTCTCCAGATCTTCAGAGCAAACACAACTGCTCCTAGTTCAAGATCGTGGGTGGTGTAGTTAACCTCGTGTGTCTTCAGCTGTCTCGAGGCATATGCGATGACCTTACCTCGTTGCATCAGAACACAGCCGAGCCCTTGATTTGAAGCATCACAATAGACAACGAAGTCTTCTATCCCTTCGGGGAGGGATAGTATTGGTGCGGTGCACAAGGCTCGCTTGAGCGTTTGGAACGCTCTCTCCTGCTTCTCTTCCCAGTCAAAGGCCACGCCCTTCTGGGTCAGTGTTGTAAGAGGTTTCGCAATTCGGGAGAAGTTCTGAATGAACCTGCGATAGTAGCCAGCGAGACCTAGAAATTGACGAATTTCTGTAGGTGTCTTCGGTGCTGACCAGTTCTCAATGGCCTTGATTTTGGAGGGGTCCACGTGAATTCCCTCTTCACTAACTACGTGGCCCAAGAATTCGACTCTTCGAATCCAAAATTCGCACTTAGAGAACTTCGCATAGAGCTTCTCCGATCGTAATGTTTCTAAGACTCTTCGTAGGTGTTGACTATGTTCCTCCTTACTTCGAGAGTAGATGAGTATGTCATCGATGAAGACAATGACGAACTGATCCAAGTAAGGACGACACACCCTATTCATTAAATCCATGAATACTGCGGGCGCGTTTGTTAATCCGAACGGCATCACTACAAACTCGTAGTGTCCATAACGAGTTCGGAAGGCTGTCTTGGGAACATCCTCCTCTAACACTCGTAGTTGGTGGTACCCGGATCGTAGATCTATCTTCGAGAAGTAGTTGGCTCCTTGAAGTTGATCAAATAAATCGTCAATGCGGGGTAAGGGATAACGATTCTTAATGGTAAGCTTGTTGAGTTCCCTGTAGTCGATGCACATACGAAACGATCCGTCTTTCTTCTTGACGAACAAGACGGGTGCTCCCCATGGTGAGAAGCTTGGCCTAATGAATCCCTTCTTGAGAAGTTCGTTAAGCTGACTGGAAAGTTCCTGCATCTCCGCCGGTGCCAGACGATATGGAGATTTGGCTACTGGAGTAGCCCCTGGCACTAAGTCGATTCTGAACTCGACTTGGCGTTGAGGTGGTAATCCCGGTAGTTCTTCTGGAAAGATGTCGGGAAAGTCGCGTACTTCTGAGATGTTCTGAATGTCTTTCACTTCTTGACTCGTATCGACGATGTGTGCGAGGAATGCATGATATTCCTTTCGCAAGCACTTTAGAGCTTGGATACACGAAATGATGCGAAGGTTCGTACTAGGTTTGTCGCCGTAGATAACTAGGGTTTCGCTGTTAGGGAGGTTAAGACGAACTGCTTTCTCAAAGCACATGATGTCGGCGCGACGATGACTTAACCAATCCATGCCGATTATGACGTCGAAACTTTTAATTGGGACCGGCATGAGGTCTATTTTGAAAGTATGACCATCTAAAGTTAGAGTACAACCTACGTATATGCAGTTAGTACTTTCCGTTTTCCCGTTTGCCATTTCTACAGTGAATGATTCATCTAGTGCACGTGGTTTTTGTTTAAGCAAGTGTGCAAATTTCTGGTTTACGAAGCTTTTCTCCGCTCCACTGTCGAAAAGTATGCATGCATAAGAGTTATCGAGGAGAAACGTACCAGTGACCACTGTGGGGTCAGCAACCGCTTCCTCGTGGCCTATGGCCAGAACTCTTCCTACTCCGCCAGCTATCCCTGCCTTAGGGCAGTTCCTCTTATAGTGGCCCACTTCGCCACAACCGTAGCAAGCTTGGCCCACACCGGTGTTAGGAACTTGAGCGCTCGGCCTTGCTGGAGTCTTGCAGAAACGGGCAGTATGCCCCCTTCTGTTGCAGTTAGTGCACTGCATTTCCCGGCAAGGTCCGTTGTGATGGAAGGTGCATTTGTTGCACTTCGGAAGATTACCGGCATAAGGCTTCGCTGGTAAGGGATTAGCAGGGACAACAGGAGTTACCGTGGCAGCATTGATTGTAACTAGTTGTTGTCTCTTTGAGGATTCTTGTGAAGTCCCGCTTTTCCTCTTGTTCCACCCCTTTTTCTTGTTGTTGTTGTTGTTTCCCTTTTGTTGCTCGGGTGTAGAAATTGTTGGGTTCTGGTAGTTTCCGTGATCTATAAGAGATTGTGCCAGCTCTTTAGCGCTGTCAAAAGTAACAGGCCTTGATGCTAACACACTTGACTGGATCTGGGGCGACAGTCCCCAAATATATCTCTCTATTTTCTTGCTCTCTAGAGTAACCATATCAGGGCAAAGAATTGCCAGATCACAGAATCTATTAGTATAGGTTGATATGTCAGAACCAACCATTACAAGACCCCAGAGTTCCTGCTCGAGTTTTTGAATTTCCCCTCGTGGACAGTACTCTCTCATCAGCATGGCTTTCAAGTTCTCCCAGCTTATCGAATTTGCCACTATCAGAGTCAGTGACTTAACGTGGCCATTCCACCAAGTTAAAGCCCTGTCAGAAAAGGTACAAGTAGCAAACTTGACCTTATTGTTCTCTGGGCAGGCGCAGATTTCAAAGACTGCTTCTGTCTTTTCTATCCACTGCCTTAAGATCATAACCCCTCCAGTTCCATTGAAATTTCTGGGTTTGGCATTTGTAAAATCCTTGTAGGTGCATTCCCGGGGGTGCCCATGACTCTCGCCATGGTTGGAAGGAGGTGCACCTGTTCCCGATCCACTAGGGACAGGAGTATTGATGTGTGACATGGCAGCCGCTACGGCCGCCGTGACAGCTGCTTGGAACATAGCAGCGTCGAACTGAGGAGGTGGTGGAGGTGGTGGTATCGGTGTTTCGTTATTATTGTTACGCCTTGGATTTCTGCGAGGAGGCATCTTTTAACTTCAAGTTTAAAAGATAGAAACAATGATAAGAATCCAATAGTATAAAGAATGAAAGTGTCTTGTGAACTAAGTCGCCATAGTTCGATATCAAATGAGAGTATGAATTTCTAAATAGATTAGATAACTGCCGAAATTACTGGTATATAAGATGTAAATGAGTTCGGGAAAATGACCTAACTATAGGTCTTACATCATACCATAAGGAAAATGTCGACAGTTTAGAAATCTAAGAAAGTACTTGAGAGACAGGAATATTTTACAGAAAAGTGCTACTTAGAGCTCAGTTAGGAAAGGCTATTCCTTATATCAAAAGAAAAGATGTACTAGACATCTTCTACCGGCGATGGGAATTCCTGGGGAGAATCCTCATATCCGCCAGTTGACGTACCACCTCTTGGAGATGTCGCTCGTGAGCCCTCTGACGAACTCGAAGTTCTATGACTTCGGTCCGAGATGCAGCTAACTGTTGCCGCAGAGTCTCATTGGTTCTTCTCGTCCCTTCGACAGCGTCTTCCAGATGTCGAATGCGGACGGTGTTAACGCCCGAGTTGGCATCAATTTCCATGACTCGGTCGATGGCTGCTCGACCTTGCTCGACATTTCGAGCAATCCTACGGATCATAACAGGCAGAGCTCGATCCGCAGAGCCACCTCCTCTAAGGTCATAGAAGCTTCGGTCCCCATAGTAGGGTAAGGGTTGACCCTGTTCGTCGCTCCAGCGATTCAAGTTTGTTGCCCACAAGGGTGTGGGACCTTGAAACGCGGGTTGGGGGTTGAGATTCGGGGCCTGACCCACTTGGGGTAGGTTGTTGACTTCAGGCTCTGAGTCAGAACTATCAGAAAAGCCTTCAGCATGGTGATCATCCAAAGGGATTGGGTGATCATCTTCTGGTTCTTCCTCTAGCCATCCAGCATCGCCTTGGTTTGGGAAGTACGGGTCGCCGTGGGGATGGAATCCAGCCATAATATCTACGCGAGAAAAGGGATATAAGAAATAACTAAATAGACGTACTAATTAGATAATTATAAGATGATCTTTATCAGTTACTCCAATACTTGTTTAGTGCATACCAGTTATATGTACTCAGGACAGGATAGACCTTCGAATAAGTGACCCTAACTCTAAGCCCACAACCAAACAAGGAACAAGAAGTAAAGCAAAGATCACAGATTCTAAGTCTATGACGTCCTAGGTACATATAATCTTAGTGTATCCACTTAGCAACTATTGACCTACTGATAAAGACCTTTTTAGTTCGCAGATAAGTAATTATAGTAACACCAAATACTCCCATAGTATTTCATTGTGGTAGTGTTGGTAAGTTTTTAGACTTGTTGCCATATCACAACCATTCTTGGGCATATGCTAATCACTCCTCGGACCAGCATAGTTGATCAGGCTATGCCACTCCCAGGACTGACCATACATCCCCGAGCTTACCTGTGATATTCAACAATCGTAATACTTTTGTTTTTGTCATTGTGACACTGATTTTTAGTATGAATGCAGGCATGTATACTTAGTTAAATATTTTATTATTTAAAAGTATAAACTCTTGGTCAGAGTATTTTAATCCCATTGTATTTATAGTCTGTATATCTTTTATGGGTTGATATACTCAATTCACTATAAACAATGCTCTGATACCAATCTGTCACACCCCAAAACCAAGAACGGCGGAAACGTTCAGGGGTGGAGGACGTCATGTAAAGTATCATAACAGTGCAAAGTAGTAAACAAGCAACAACATCATCCATTGCATTAAAAGTAAAGTTTTAATACATGAGTGTTCTTTCATAGTAATAAGACACCAAAATATGTAATCAAAATAAAAGACGAGTCTTGTCTGTGCTCCGTCTTCTCAAAACCTGGTCATCGTACCTGTCTACTGGTGACCTGAGAATACAAGTTATTTTGAAAGCGTAGATCAGCATAAAGCTGGTGAATTCATAAGTATTTTAGTGTCATTGATTTGAAAAGCTGTTATGAAAGACTTGTAAATGTTTAATGAAACATTTAGTATAAGTGTGAAAACCCTAGAAAATCCCATATTTCCTACTAGTAAAAAAAAGTAGTCTTCTACCAAGACCCGAATGCTTTGAAGGTTTGCATTTCTGTATCAATGAAGGTTTTTCCCATGTGCAACTATTATTATAAATATATAGTCTACCTCATCGTTTATGTGAATGTGTCACAAAATAAAAGTAATAGGGAAAATTATATAATCATTGAAATCGTATCCTTTTGCCTTAGGATAATCACGGCGTGGAAACTCGCCGAACAGTACAACCGAGAACATCCGTCGATGAACAGGTCCCGCTGTAGCTAGCAGCCAGGTGTAGGATGGTCAGTCCCGTATAGTATATATAGTATCTCTCTGTATAGTATATAGTATTTCTCTCTGTATAACAAGTAATAGTATCTCTTCATATAGTATTTAGTATATTTGTATAGACTCATGAATGAACTGACTCTTGTGTAATTCCTTGTACTAGGAATAATATTTTGTATCTCCTAAACTATACCTATAATAGTTTACTGGAATGTAGATTGAATGTCCAAGTAGGTTTATACACCCTTGCTACACAAGAGTGTTGGAACTGAAGAAAGAATGAAAGCTCTCATATCAATACATATATGTATGAAACATAAGTGTATAGATATGGTTTTTAACAATAAGTTGAAAGAGGTTTTGTAATACATTTAAGAGTTTTGAACAATAAGTAATAATGACTTGATGTCAGTTTATAAAACGATTCAAAAGTAGTTCATTTGATAACAAAGAATAAAATAACTGAAAACCATTGTATTTAACACATTTTGAAGTATGTGAAATCAGTTGGTTGAAAACACAGTTATAAATCACATATGATTGATTCTATAACTTCCTGTTTTCTACTTGTATTCCCCCCCCCCATGAAAGCATTTAAAATCATTTAAAAGGATTGATTAAGGGGTATGAACTCACCTGTAGTGAGTGGTTTGGATGAACGGATGATGTAGGATGCTAAGTGTCAAGTGAAGACTTGTACACACACAATGATCCTAGTTAACATATAATAACACATATATGTATCCAATTAGTCATAAAACAACTAATTAACCAAATTTAAGACATCCTAAGACATGTAAAACACTTGATTTAAGTGCTATAAGTCCTAAGGATTGCATCTAAGGGTGGTAGGACCTTGTAATTGAGTTTAGGGTTCAAGGGTAAACTCCTTTGGAGTTTACGGTTTTGTGACCAACTCTTATTGAGTTTACGGTCGTAAACCCATGAGTTTACGGCCGTAAACTCATGGTACTTTTACCATGTTGAGTTTTGAAGCCTAAAAGGTCATAAGAAGCATTCCTACTTCATATCTAAGCCTTTGGAAGTGATTAGGGCACCATTTCACTCCTTTGTGGAGTTTACGGTCCTTGGACCACTTCTCCTTGGGTTTACGGCCGTAAACCCAAATGGTTTATGGTCTTTTGATGTTTCAAGTCCTAAGCACTTTAAGGATATGATCTAGACTAGTATCCAAGGCTTGGTAAGGGACTAGGGCACATTTTGGCCCCTTTATTAGGGTTTACGGTCCAAGAACATCTTGGACCGTAAACACCTTTGATCTTGTGTTTCTTGGGTGTTTTCTTGATGATTAGAAGTGTAACAAGTCTTATAATACACTAGGGTAAGAGTACTTACTAGGTAGAAGCTTGAAAAGGTGCTAAAAGTCCAAGAACACTAGTGTGTGTTCTTGGTGTTCTTGGTGAAACTTGAAGATCTACACTTTTGGAATGATTTCACAGATGGAATCATGTAAGATCACTAGATTAAGTAAGATATCAACTTTTTAGGGATAGAAACACTTACAAAGTTGAAGATCAAGAAGAAAAGTTGGATGATACTTGAGAGGATTTGAGTTTGGATCTTGAAAATGTGAAAAAGTGGTAAATAATGACTAAGTGTCATATTTATACCCCCTTTTAGGGTTTACGGCCGTAAACACCTTTGTTTAGGCCGTAAACTCCAAACTCTTGGAGTTTTGGGACATTATTGTTGCACAATAAACCCTAGGGCATCCTCTCTCCTGTTATCTCCTGAAGTACTAACTTCTAAACACTCAAACTTACTCCAGAAAGCTTGAAAGTTAGCAGAAACTGTTCTGACTTCTATTGAAGTGAATGGTTGTACAGAATAGAAATTTCGGGTTGTCACACTGGAGATCGTGGCAAGGCGAAGGCGTGATCATACTGCTCCTCATGTTTTATGATTTATGTGATATGGTTCTGGGGGATACTCTGATGTTTAAACTATTTTGAAAACAAGGTGTATGAACTTAATGGTTTTTGGATGAATTAAAATTTTTTAATTTGGCGCAAATTTTATGGGTGTTACATTGTGCACACAAAACTTGCATTTGGAGAATTGATCCACATCCTAATCCTTATATGAAGCCTCAAGAATCCCTTGAGGATGCTCAAATAATATCTCCGATAAACCCAACATATCTATAGAACTCTCCTACCCAAAACTGGAAGATCTCTATGCCTCCTTAGATAAACCTGGTCTTCTCAAATTTTCATCACATATTCGACTTATGACATGGTCTTCACCTCAACTATCGAACAAAAAGTACAATTGAGTCCTATACATTCCTTTGTTGTGAGACATAAATGATTTACTATGAACCATACTTTACCGTCTTACGGCAGAAACCGATACGAAGAACACCATCCATTTGCTTAAATACAGACTAACATATATTTAATTTCTTTTCCCTCGAGCATGGGAGGCAGGAAAAACCTAACTTCGTCGTAGAAAACGAAATTCCAGGCCATCGGACGACCACCCAGCCTCAGGCTGCAATCCTCAAGGAGATCAACACAATCGCTTCCTACCTAAGTCATGCGACTCAAACTGGCGCTACTTCGAATAAGGCCTTCGACACCTTAGGATCAACTAACTCGTACATGTCTGCACCATTTAGGACCAAACTACCATGGCCACTTAGGCCCGAACAAGCATCAAATTCATCATCTTCAAGAGAAACAATAACTGAAAGACCTACACACGAGGATGGGCTACAACTAACCCTAGTTTGATACCATACTTCTGTCGATAACCAAATCCCTAGTAGCCTTGTAATTTTTTCTTGATCCTTATATGGATCTTGTGCTTCCAATAGTACGAGCACATACTACCTTCCACACCTATCCATGTTTGTTTCAGGAATCATCCCAAAGTTCTATGTCACTACACTCGACCACAACAAGATGTACTAACACACACCTATACACTCAAAAAGAGCCACAAACTACACTTCCTAGATTCTCACCCTAGGATTCTTCTCACACATATACATGAACTAGCATACCTTAACACTTTTTTTAGACCACTAGGAACTCCACCACACCTTGCTATCACTTGTGGAAGAAACTTCTACTAATGCCAATTAACTATTTTACAAATACAATTACATGCAACAAAGATTAAACAGTCCTTCAACTGAAATATCCTATAGTATAACGATTGGACTCAAACAAGAGTTGTGCAATAGGGCCAAATCAAGCATTCTAAAGCTATTTAATCTTTGTGACATGAAACCTAACATATTCGCTCAATATTTAAATAACATCAATATAGGTTTCACATAGCACAATGCAAGCAGCATTCGAGCAGCAAATCCAACAGGCAACAAGGCATCATAAAGATCATGCAATTCTAACATATCGAGGTCCTACACTTCCTCGGCCAGATCCAAACGATATGTAACCCTGCCCACCCAGGCTAAAACCATGAAAGGACCAATATACTTGGGGCCCAGCTTGCCCCGCTTCTTGAATCGGCTGACACCTTTCCAAGGTGAAACCTTCAGGAGTACCATGTCTCCAACCTGAAACTCATCGTCTGACTAGCGTTTGTCTGCGTAACTCTTCTATCGACTCTATTCTGTCTAAAGTCTACCAAGAACCTATTG